GCTGGGGGTCTGTGGGGATGGGGGTTTGGGGTCTGGGGAATAGGGGGCAGGGCTGTGGGAATGGGAGGCAGGGATGGGGTTTGAGCTGTGGGGGGCAGGGGATATGCCAGGTCTGGAGGGAAGCACTTAGGGGACCAGGGACCTGTGGGGAGGACAAGGCCGGGGGGTTGGGATCGGGGGGGCTGTGGGGGGCAGGGGATGTGCCAGGTCTGGAGGGCAGCACTTAGGGGACCAGGGACCTGTGGGGAGGACAAGGCCGGGGGGTTGGGATCGGGGGGGCTGTGGGGGGCAGGGGAATGGGGCTTATGGGTTCTGACCCAAGCTGACCAGGATTCATACAGCTTCCCTATGGCATCCCATGGGCCCATCCACACCCCCCAGCTCCCTCCCCGTCCGTCACCAGCCGCCCGCTGGCCGTGGGGCCCCCGCGGCTGGGATCCTGGTGCTGAACCGGGGAGGGGGCAGCTGAGCGAAAGGGGGGCTCGACCCCCATCTCTCGGGGCCTACGTGGAGCAGGAATGTTTCCCCCCGGGGCCTGGCAAGGGACGGTGGGGCCCGGGCCGAGGGCTGGACAGGTTCACACAGGATCCATGGGGCAGGGAGGGGAACGAGGCAGGGGGCAGCCTTGGAACAGCCTCGGGGAGGCTCCCATCCATGGGCCAGACCCCCAGGGGTCCTGTTCTTCCGCCAGGGTCAGCCCCACGGCTGCCCCCCGCCAGCAACAGACCCCCGAGAGAGCCCTGTACCCCCCGGGGGCAGCCCGCCCCCTCCTGTGCCGCCCAGCCGGTGGGACGGACGGACGCTCCTTGGGCAGCAGAGCGAGGAGTTACCCCCTGGCCCGCTCTGGTGGCCCAATCCCCCACCCCTCTGTCTGTCCGTCTGTCCGTCCATCCATCCCCTCCACCCCTCCCTCTGTCCGTCCATCCATACCCCACCCCTCCCTCTGTCCGTTTGTCCGTCCATCCATCCCCCACCCCTCCCTCTGTCAGTCCATCCGCCCGCCCCTCCCTCTGTCTGTCTGTCCAGCCCCCCCGGCTCGTCTCTGGGTTGTGCGGAATTTTTCTCCCTTCGCCCGCCAGGGGGCAGCACCGCCCCAGCTTCCCTGTCCCAGCTGGTGACGTGCCGCGTGTGGGGGCTGGGGCGTGGCTGGGGGGTCGGGCTTTGGGGCAACTGTGGGGCGGGAGGCAGGAGGGGAGCTGGGCCCCTGACCCACCCCCCGGGACCCACTGTCCATGTGGGGCCCAGAGCCCCCAGGATCAGGGCTGTGTGCAAAGGGGAAACTGAGGCAGGCTGCCTTAGCTCCATGGGCCCAAAGTGTCAAAGGTGGGAACAGGCCCCGGACACTCTGTTAAACAAGGTTCAGGGTTTGGTATCCAGAGACCTCGGCCCACTGCCTGTCGACAACCAGGGAGAGAACCCCGGAGTCCGGGCACCTCCCCCACCCCGTCCTGCTCTAACCACTGGCGCCCCCCCCCATGCCAGAGCAGGAGAGAACCCCGGAGTCCGGATCCAAGGTCCCGCCCCTGAGTCATTAGACCCCACGTGCTCTGGGCAGGTGCTAACGAATCTCTGCAGGATATCAGTGCCCTGACCCGCAGCCGGTGCCCCTCACTCCCGACCCACAGCCCCCGCTCGCCCGGCCCTGCCCCCCC